TTTAAAGCAGGGGAAAACGCATGGTGAAGATGGGAATATTGAATGAATATTTTATTGAATTCCAGGAATATCTACTTCTCTTGTTATATAAACTTTTTAACTGTATTTAAGACACAGTTTTTTCCCGAAAAGTTGGTCATCATCTGTAATCGTGCCTATTTTCAAAAAGGTGACATTAAGAACCCAGACAATTATAGGGGTATAAGTCTTGTTAGTAAAATGGCTAAATTATTTACTTCAAAAATATTGAACAATACATTATTAGAATGGTCTAAAAGTAATGATATAGTTACAGATGCACAGTTTGGCTTCAAACCTAATTGTGGTACACGTGAAGCAATATTTGTTCTTCATTCTTTGATTTCAAACACTTTATCTAAAAGTAAAAGACTACATTGTGCATTCATTGATTTCAAAAAAGGCGCTTGATTCTGTTGTCAGATCTAAACTGTGGATCAAAATATCTAAAGTGGGTATCCAAGGCGCTGTATGATAATGTGAAATCTTGCATTGTGGTAGAAGGCCAATTGAGTAATTTTTTTTGTAACAATGTTGGTTTGATGGAAGGAGAAGTGTTATCCCCAATTTTATTAAACTCTATGTGAATGACTTTGAAATGAGTTTCTCTTATATGATCTAATGTCACTGAACTTGATTTTGTTAATGTATTCAGATAATATGGTCCTTTTTCTGAAACAATTGAAGGTCTGCAATCACTTTTGAATGAGTTGTCTGAATATTGTAAATCCTGGAATTTATGTATTAACGTGGACAAATCTAAAGTTTTAATCATTAGAAATAAGGCCAAAATCAAATCTAACGAAAAATGGTTCATTGGTAAGCATGTTTTGGAAGCTGTTGAACAATTTACATACTTGGGAATTATTTTCCAATACAATAATAAATTTGCAATGGCGGAAAAAACAGTTGTCTGACCTGGATAGAGAAGAGAAAAACATTGTTTGTGTTGAAAAAAGATATAAGGGGTTTGTCCCTTAATCATGAAACTTTATTATCACTTTTTGATTGCAATGTTGGAGGCATTGTTAATTATGCATCAGAAATCTGGGGATCTCATAAAGGTGACAATGTTGAAAAACTACATCTTGATTTTTGTAAGCAGATATTAGGAGTTAAAAAATCTACATGTAATACAGCTGTTTATGCTGAGTTAGGTAGACTTCCTCTGTTGTACAAAAGAACATTCTCAATGATAAATTTTAGCCAGCGAGAACTGTATTATTAGAAATTGTTATGAGAAGATGTATATTAACTGTGAAACGCATGCACAAAAAAACTGGGCTTTTCAGGTGAAGAATTTTTTAAATGATCTTGGTTTTAGTGAAGTTTGGGGTAAACAACAAATTAATACAGCTACCTTAAAATGTATTAAACAAACTTAAGGACTTTGGATCAGGCTAAACAAGAAATAGTTGCTAAAATTGAAAGTTCGCAGAAATGTTCTTTCTATAAATACCTACTTGATGGGTTTTACCTTCAGTATTATTTTAAAAAAAAATCTGTTCCGGCTAAATTTCAAAAATGTATATCAAAGTTAAGATTATCATCACACCTGTTAGCTATTGAAACAGGGAGATATAATAACACTAACAAATCGCATAGGAAATGCTTTGCTTGTCATAATTGTGTGGAGGACGAATATCATTTTTTACTGGTATGCCCTGTTTATGCAGATTATCGAAGCAAATTTATTTAAAAATATTTCGTTAAAAAACCATCCATGTTCAAATTATTGCAATTGTTTAATACTGAGAACTATAAGGATATGTGTAACCTTGGTAAATATATTTATTATAGTTTGAGGCGAAGAGGTGATCTTGTAATCCGATAATTGTATCTTTTCCATTATTTTTGTTTGTTTGTTTGTTTGTATTTACTACTATTATTTATGTACGAACACATTGTTCTTCTGTAAAATATCCACTTCTGTACTGTAATGAAACTGATTTTGTATATATACTGATAAGCTGTAAATTAGCTTAAAGTAATGATAAAGAAGAAGAAGAATGCTTATGTGGCAGTTAAACCATAATTAAGTGTAAATTAAATTTCAAATTTTTAATTACTTTATGTTTAACTCATATACCTGTAATCATTGTAATAGAAGCATCAGCTGGGATAGAGAAGTGTGACTTTTTATTGATAAATATCAATTTCAATATATACACTGATAATTAATAAAATTCCCCATTTTGCATACACTTGTGCGCGCGGTCACCTCTCCTCACGTGCCACGGGTAGGAATACACCTGCCACAGCGTTTGTGTATTATATGTATATTCTATGTGATTTGAGAGGTTTTTCAGTCTAAGGGAACAATGGGATGTGTGTATATATATATGCAAAGTCTCCACAAACTAACAAACTATGCGCAGTGTAAGTTCAACATGATGGCCTCTGGTTATCGATTACAATTTATTAAGAAGTAAAATTTGATGACAACTTTAGTTTTATGTTAAAAATTGGACAAAATATTGATAAAATAAGCTAAATTTACTATAAATTTTTACATGGTTAGAAAGAAGAAAAATATCGAATTTGGTTCAGAACTGATTGAAAAGGAAAATATTTTCTACTTATTGTATAGAAATTATAACTGATAAGTGTTGGGAAAAACAAACAAACAAACAAACATTTCAATAGTAGAAACAAACATTTCATTATACTCCGCTAAAATTTTTCTTTTGACGGATAATCTGGAAAATTTTACTTTATTGATTTTAAAGAGTTTTTGAGGAAAATGATTGAAGACATTGTAACCAGTCATTCACAAATTCATACAGTTGTTATGTCAGAATTTTAAAAACTTGATGTTTCCTTTTCCTTTATTCTTCAGCTGCCTAGAAGTTTAAAACCCTTATTTATTGAATTTTCCTCAATGACTTTTCAGTGACTATATCCATTTCAGTAGCCCCTAGGCAAAAATGAGCCACCCATGTATTCTGCCCAATCCAAATTTTAAAGCTCTATCCATGTATCAAATACGTACATGTAAATACATGTACATGTTACTGGAAAACATAGAATAGAAGATATAAAGAGGCGACAAAATTTTCTAAAAGAAAAGGGGGGGGGGGGCGCTGAATTAAACGACAAAAAAGGAGCAGAGTTAAAATGGTTAACATGGACCTCCAAAAATTCAGAGTTGAGATCAGGTGCCATGGAGGAGTAAGCATCATCTGCCGACCGATCATACCCGCCGCAAGGTCATTGTATCGACCACATAATTTACGAAATAATGACTTTAAATGAGACTGCTTATATTCTTGTTTCAGCAAATTGTCTTTCAGTAATTTACCTCGTTTTAAAAATTCTTCATACGTGTAGCGTATCGAATCAACAGAGAGATTATAAACCCCGCATGCAGGTGACGAATGTATATTGCTTCATAAAAAGGAAGGGAAGCTGACGATTGAAAAGTTAAAGTCACAACGTTTATCACAAAGCTTGGTAGATAGATTTTTCAAGTAAAATATCTAAAATATGAAACAGATATGTCAGACTCTGTGGTATCGTTTAATTCAAGCTCACCGGGATGTATATCGTATCAACATATGAATGGATATAACCATTGTAATTTGACAGTACGTTGTCGATATTTATCTGAATTCATGTCTAGTTGAAGGCCACAGTCAAGTGTTTTCTGTTCATCACGTATACAAGATTTTTGACAAATTCTGCTTTATATGAATACAGAAATAGATCTGTTATAACGGGGTGCAATTAGAATCTCACGGGAATTCCAATAGATTGTTGGAAGATCTGGTCTCCAAAAACACATAGATATTGTCAATCAGAAACTCAAGCATCTTTTTTTAATATCAACTTTAGAGTACTTTTGCGTGCAATCAGAAAGTTTTTTTTTTTTTTTTACAAAATAATTTTGCAAATGGCTTATGACAAGATAAGTAAATTTACGAGTTCCATTTTTATCATTGACAAGTATACATGTATATAGCTGTCTATGATATCAAAAAGTCTGGACTTTAATTTATCGTGAGGAATGGTTGTGTTTAAAGCTGAAAAGTCGTAAGTTTTAATGCCGTTGAATTTGGAAAAAAATTGAAGTTTCCAAAAGTTCCTTGGAATTTTTAAGTATCCACATCTAAATTTTTTCCACTTGTGGAATATATTCTTGCACATATTACTCCCGAAGCTTCTCCTTCAATACTCCCTACATTTTAGAGAGGAGTAAAGACAGAGGCTTGGTAAAACATTAACTAGATCCTGCTGTGTACATTTGTAAGGATTTTTATGAAGTTTTGGAAACCAATATACTCAATAGATATACGTAGTAAATCAAATTCATTCTGATTATTAAGTAAACATGCTTATATAAAAGTATGTACATAATAATAACATTTATTATTTTCCCTTTCATTACAATTATTATTGAAATTTTATTTTAACAAAGTTAGTCTGTGTAATATTTTGATATGTTAAATTAGGATACCTACGGGTATGATTTGATGACTTAAAGTGCCTTTCCAATATATGTGTGTGCCTCATTCCCATTAAATCATGTTTTATCAAACTGGCCAATAACATCAAAACTTAACATACTTTTAAATCAAGCGTGTCTTTGACACCAGTGTTGAATTATTCCTCCTAAGACTGCGCTCTCTGAGCCCCATACAAAGCTGACAGAACGATAAAGAGTCTCCTGCTACTTATTTTAAGTATGTTTCTAAGTAACTTCTGAATGAGTACTTGAGAGAGTACATAAATGAGTTCAAAGATGTACAGTTCTTCTTAATATCGGTTTTCTGACCTCATAACAGAAAACGTACTTTTATAAAAGGCAAAATCAGGAAAATGACAAATCACAGAGAGATGAAAGGGTCGACATGCTGGATTCCAGACGATAGAAGGAATAGATTTAGGATTAGAAGGTCAGCCATTAACATAACTAGTCAGGAAATGGCAGTATTTAAATTGATTTAAAAGACACTAAACCAACACCCAGAAGGAAAAACAAAATCTCTTGTCGTCCTCTGTAAGAGAGAACTTGGAGTTGAATGAGAGAGATGTTGATGAATGGAACTGTCTTCGACGGGTAGATCAAATTTCTAGTCACGAAGAGTTTTATTTATTTGTGCGTCAACTTTCTTTTATTTCCATATCCAAACTAGACCAAGTCTTCTTCTTTCAGAACGTAAAAAACATGATATTTATTTGTCCTTTGCTGAGTTAATGTACTACAGAGGCGTTCTCCCCAGGCATCTCCTGACGGACCATCTCATGGCAAATATTTAGACCTTAAATGGAATAAACATTGTGTCAAAAGGCGAACCTCAACAATGCATAAGGTAAGAAACTAAAAAAAAATATTAACTTCATTTGAAAAAAAAAATAGAATACAATTTGCGAGTAATAATACGAGTTTATTTCGTACCCAATAATATAAATACAATACACATAAAACAATTCAACAAGAATTTAATCAATTCTCTTGATTTTAGAAGTCCAGGAAAAGTACAAAAAAGTAAATAAAAGCTGATGATGTGATCAAATTTCATATTCCGTGTTTCTTAATAAAATCTCACTACAGTGGAAGTTTTAATGAGAAGGCATAATTTACGAAAAACTACCTTATTCATCTAATCTTTTAGTGAATTATCATGTCCATAACAATTTTTTTTTTTTTTTTTACAGTTTTATAGATCTGAGAATGAACTTTGAAAGGATACACTCTAATTCTATCCATCAGAACAGTTCAGATGCATAAAACATAATTGGATACTCTTTAAATATTATCATTTTACAAACAGCGTGACAGTTTGCTTGATGGGGCGTGCTAAAATTTTGTGTGTTGGTTATCATTTTGCTCATCGATTGGATCAATGAAATCAATACTAATTTGCATATGAAACTCGGAATACAACAATAGCCTGATAATACTGACCAATCACATTGAATGATTGTTGACCAGTACAGCATTTGTAGTCAGCAGCAACACGTGGTCAGTAAAAGCCCGTTTTCTGTCCTGAAAAAAGCATGTAATTATATTTGTTGTGATTTGGCCGGATGGGTTTTTAAATACGTATTAAGAAAATTTAAAGAATGGAATTAGTAAGGCTACTCTGCTTCTGTTGTACTATATATGTACGTTGCTCTATCATTATCATCATTATAGGAAGTGAAACTTGCTTAGTCCGTTCACGTGTTATTGTTGTTTATTAAATGCGATTGGTCAGTATTGTCAGTGGTATTGCTGTATTCTGTGTTTCATATGCAAAGTATTATTGATTCCATTGAAATCAAACATCCAATCGATGAGTAAAATGATAATCAGGCATCCGGAATTTTAGCACGCCCTATCAAGCAAACTGTCACGCTGTTAGTAAAACGATAGTATGTTATAGAATTTACACTATATTGTCCTTTTTTCAGTAACTGTGTCCTTTCATTCGATTAAAACCTTCATGTACATCTCGTTTCAATTCTAATTTTTTTTTCTTTTATATTAAACACATGTTAAAACATCGACCTACCCTATGTATTTTCAAAATCAATGGTGGTTATTAATTTAAAACTGTCAACCACTTAAAAAATTCAGAAATATAACCAATGAGATAGCTTCGTAAAACCAGAAACCGGTATTTATACGGATTCTTGGAATATTGTTTTTTTTTTCTTTCATAGATTGAGAAGCCTCAAATTTTAATGATAGAATATTTGAAGATTTAAGGAATTAATTTTAAATACATTTAAATCAACCACCTTATTTTCCAATACCAGTTTATCTACTAAGTATCACATTTACGAATCTACTTGACCAGTCAACAGTCTATATAACAACAGGTCTGGATTGTGTCGTAATACTGTAGGTATACTGTTAATCCCCCGCCACTGAAATGCCTGGAGAGAAAGTATACACGTCTACTTCAATATACTTCGATACGCCACTGTTCGCTTACTGCGTCATTGATCATGAAAGTACACAGATTTCCCAAGGAAATTAAATTTAATTGTTCCCTGGTGTACAAAGACAAATATTTGTAGTTTACCTTGGACAAATCCTCCACAAAAACAATTGAGTAGTGAGGGAACAGAATACTTTGCTAGAGTTTGTACTAGGCTGAAGCTAGCAGATACTCAGTCCTTTCCTTATTGGCTGCTACAGCTTCTACGGGCTTAGTGACTGCTGTTATTGGCTGCTAGCTTCAGTCTAGTCCAACTATTATAATGGCATATCAGTCTATCAGAAAAAAGTTTCAGTTGAAATATACTTGTAATGGAAATCGCTCTCAGAAGTAACTTTTTCTATCCTTGAAACATCAGATGTTAGGTAGAATTTAAAAAGTTTTCTTGATGTAATTTCGGAATTTCGATTGAAAGGTTGTTTAATTCAAAGCCGAGAAATATGTGTTAACTATTACTCATTCAACATTTTTTAACATACCATTTTCTTTCATGTTTCAATATCTGCAATTACAATTTTGTTACTTATAGAATCTATAATACTTATTGTCGAGACTTAAATACAAAAATGTAGTGGGTTTTTATTTGAAAATCTGAATGTTGTAGAACTTAAAGTCACGACTATTTGATTTACAAGATCACACTGCGAATTTCCCTTCTTTGATGTTAATTTAAGGCAGGATCTTTTTACATTTATGCTTTGTCATGTCTGTAGACTGACACCATTTAAATTAGCATGTTATATAAAGACGACCTTAAAGACCAGTTTTTATTGCATTAAGTAATTTGAAGTTAAACAGAGGTAATAGCTAGTCACGGAATCAGTTCAGCGATCAAATTTTAAAAATTCCAATTACAAGTATTTCCCAAGACAACTTGAATGTATTTTCTTAACAGAAAATGCTTCAGGGAATATTATCCGAAATGAAATAAGTTATTAAAATTCTTTTAAAATTTTAGATAACATGAAATCTAATGTACATAACCTACAGTATTTTAAAGGGATCTCTATTTCTTTTACAAACCAATTGAAGGATTCAGTAATGAAACCTAATGTGAAAATGTTCAAATGTAACCAAAGAGTTCTTTTATAACGCTGTGTTGTATATTTAGTATTTGAAAGGCGATGAACAAAAATGTTTTTTTTTTTCAAGAATAGAAAATATTTTTAATTCATTAAAGAAAACACCTTAAATGATACTGTACCGGAAGGACAGTATCAAAAATATAATGTCGTTTTATATCTCTGTTATAAAACATAAACCTGTAGAGACAAAGGGAAATGTTGATAATTGTTTTCTATTTCTGCAGCAGAATATGGCTTTTACCAACTCTTCATATGCCCAAGTGGCGGGAATCCAGAGTGAAGTTAACAAGGTCACAGTGACACGCGTGGCCGGAAGTGAAGTGGAATACCATCGTCAGATGAACTTATATCGAAAAGACATGGAAATTGTCGTTAGAAACCTTCGCAAAGAACAGAAGAAGCTGAGAAAGGCGATCTTCATGTACTCCAGAAAACTACACGAAAGCCATCGTGAGCGAGCCCGAAGGGACGTCGAGGACAGAATGAGGGACAAAAAAAGTTTCGAAAACAGGCAAAAAGTATCAGAAATCATGAAAATGCAAGATACACAAATTCTGTCCATCGTCCGAGAAAATAATGATGTATCATTAGAAAGTGAGGAGCATAAGGCAGCCGAGGCACGAGATGAGGAGGAGAAGGATGAGACAGATGAAGAGACAGATGACAAACACGCTGAAGATTTACCAGAGCAGGTCGAGGACAGAGGTGGAGTCATTCTTCCTCCAATCAGCGCCCCTTTAACAAGTACTAACGTCGATTCCTCTGACTGGGACTGTGACCACGTGACGAGGGAAGAAAGAACACTTCCAGAAATAAAAGTAACTTCCGAATGGGAGAATAAACTTAGTAAACATTTCAGAACTTTAAAACCAAAGAAACAAACTGTCTCTTATGCGGATATCATAAAATTACAACACTCTACAAATCCCGAAAAGCTATTCAGTCTGGTGAATAAACTGGCACTAAAGCATGGAGTCAAAGACAGAGGCTTAGAACATGGGAAGGCAAACTTACCTAGAAATACCCAAGAAAGATCGGTGCAATCAAAGATAGGTTCTGGTCTGCATGCAGTGAACTATGGCTACACCATTGCTAGTAGGCAAGACAATTCAATTCCCTCGCTCAAAGTGGACAGACATTTATTAAATGAGAGTCCTTTGGAAGACGCCCAAGGTCGTCACGATATATATAGTACAGAGAAAAGTCCAGAAATATATTCACACGTGGTGAAGTCTCCGAAATCAATCATTCTGCCGTCAATTCATAAGGTTCCTCCAGAAGAAAGTTTTTCATCTCACAAAAGACCACAAAAACGTGGACCCATATCCTGGACTCAGGCTATTGCATTAATTAAAAGTGTGCATAGCTTATAACTGTATTCAAACCAAACATGGTATTCAGACATGGCTTTATTGAAATCTTTTATTACATTTCTGTAGTCGAAATCCAGAGTGAAATGTATTCTATCTACTAGTATTATCTTATCATTTATTTATATTTGTAATCAGTAAAAATTGTGTACTTTTGTATTAAATTGTGGTAATTCAACTTAATATACTCATATTTCCTTTCTAAGGAAGGAATTCTTCAAAATAAAATGTCAGTTTTGAATATTTTCAATATCCCAACGAACCAAAATGAATTTGAACTACCATATCTATATTGGATTACCAAACGTCATAAAAATCCTTACAAACAAAGATAGCGGGTTTCAGTGAATGCTCAACCAAGCCCCTTTTCAAAAGTACTCCTCACTATATTAGCTGTAGTAAAAAGAAACTTCAAGAGTACTGTGCAACAATATATTCATGAAGTGGTGTAAATCGGATGTTGATACTTAAACATTCCAAGAAACTTTTGGATAATTTGAAATCACAAGACTTTACCAAAATCAACAGCATAAAAACTTTTCAACTTTATTCATAACCATTTCCCACGATAATTTAAAGTCAAGGCTTTTTGATATCATTGGCAGCTGCTTTTTCAATAAAAACGTAACTCGTAAATTCATTTACATTGTCATTGGTCATTTGCAAAAAATATTTTGTTAATAAACATTCTGATTGTACCCACAAGTACTCTGAATTTGACATAAAAAATGTTTAAGATTCTGATGGACAATATCTATGTGTTTTTTGGAGACCGTGACTTTCAACAATCCGTTATAAGCAGACCTATTTAAGCATAACTTGTCCAGAATTTTATACCTGAAAAGAAGCAAACACTTGCTATGACCTTCAACTCGATATTTAGATATATTGACGATGTATTGTCAATTAACAATTGTAATTTCCATTTTTATGTCGATACGATATATCCCGTTGATCGAGCTTGATATAAAAGACACGCAACAGAGTCTGGCACATCTGTTTCATTTTGGATATTTTACTTGAAAAAAACGTTAATGGTAATCCAACAACCAATCTCTATGATAAACGTGATGACTTGAACCTTATAATCGTCAGTTTTCCTTACTTATGCAGCAATATACCGTCATCATCTGCATACGGAGTTTATTTATCTCAGTTGATTCGATACGCAAGGGCCTGCTCTACGTATGAACAATTTCTAAAAAAAAAAGGTAAATTATTGACAAACAAGTTGATGAAACAAAACTATCAGCAGTCTCGTTTAAAGTCATCATTTCGTAATTTCTATGGTCGATGCAAAGACCTAGTCAGAATTGCGTATGGCGCGAACAATCTCTGCTTGACATGGTGATGTTGGTTCTGTAAAGCTGTATCAGACTTTGAGGTTCATGTATCTTTTTTTTCAACTTCACTGGGATATATCGAGTCGACATAAGAATGGAATTAACTATTGGTTATTTAAAATACGTCGTTGATGTACTAGTATCTAGATGTCGAGTGAAGGTACCAATCAACAAATAGGACACGAACAAGCACACTAAAACTGACGTTAGCAGTGCAGTTCACATTTCTTTAACTCTCTGATATTCAATGACATTTGAACATTATAAACAGATAAATAGAGATAATATCCGGGTCGATACAGTAAGATAGCTCAAAAAGAACACCTTGCTGGACGTGTGAGAGATTACCAAAATATATAACACGTGTCGGGACATTGCTAGATCTACTGACGGTTGAAGACGAGGACTGCGACGAAAGGGTGAGTATGTAAGGGACAATATATGTTTAACATGAACAAGTGCAAAAATCGTATAGATTGTATCAATTATAAACATTTAATTAACATTAATTAACACATCAAATAACTGAATGTAAAAAAAATCAAAATATCTCACTGCTTTAAATAAATTTTTATACATAGCGAATCTCGTTTCTAGCACACTTTTCATCGATTTTTAAAATTAAATTTTGAAACGTATGGAAAGAGCTCAAATATTATTCTTAAAAAGTAAACAAAATTGTCAATTAAGTCAGTTTAAAATCTTTTCAGTCAAATGTTTATTCTTGTCAATAAGGCAAAGGGTAAGTTGTAATGTAAATGAGCACACACTGCTGCAGCTCTACTTGAATCATTAGAAATCTCTGTAAACAACTTCTTGACAAATTAGTATGATAAAAAGCCGAGTACAAGATCGTTATAGGGGTGGGTGTAATCTCAGTAGAACAGGCTGTATGGATACAGACTTAACAACCCCTGCTTTACGGAGCCAACATCACCTAGTCAGGTAGAGATTATACGCGCCATATGCATTTCTGCGCCAAGCAGTAACCCTCAATCAACTTCTTTTTTGAATGGGAATACGACGTTAACGAGTTATATATGTACGTGAATTTATTATAGCGAAAGACTTTCTCTAAGAACTCTTTTCAGTTTGCCAGGCATTTTTTTTAAAAGTTAGAATGTGAAAAATATTTATGATGTTTTTTCAGAAATAAAATGTAACGTCGACGAACAACATGGCATTGTATCTTCTACATACTTTCCAGTTTTACAAAACTCAACCATTTAGAATCTAGGTGTTGGAATTACCAGGGAAGAAAATGCATAAGGTAAGATATTGTCTAGGTTCAATTTTAACGAATATTTAAGTAATGTATACTGGTGAGGACTTACTGTAGTTTATAGTCATTTTGTATTTCTAAATTTGTGTAAACAGTATATTTAATCAACATTACAACATTAATTCAAGAATCCATCCTAGGTATTGTATTTGTTGACAATATTTAAAAAATAAGGCAACCAACATTAACTAACATTTGCTGTTTTAAATCAAACTTGTACACTGTAAAAAATGTGATTAGGAAATAAATATACATGACAAAATTAATACTTTTGATCACTAAATTTTTGCGACATTTTATTTTCACGTGATAGTCATTAACTCATTGTTGGAGAGACAAAATTTTCACGAATGGTCAATGCTCTATGTACTTTTATTGAATGCTAATATAAACGAGAATGAAACTTTGGTAAGTACAATATCTCGCGTAATTATGCGAATATAATTCTTGAATAAAAAGTGATTTACAGTATTTAGAAATGAAGAAAGTAAATATAAATATAAAAGATATATACTGTGAAATCATTAAAATTCGCGATGACGAATTTTTCTGGATGAAATTTTAATGTTTCGCGGGGACCAAATTTTGCATATTTTCATAAGTTCTACAAACGAAAATATGAATTTGTAACCATAGTTTATTTATTCGTGGTGGAATATAAATTCGTTGATGAGAGGCACCCACGATTTTCACGAAAACTAAATCACAACGAACACAAACCGCATTTAATAAAGGTTGAAGGAAAATTCTTCTTTAAAATATCGATTTATTCTTTTCTTAATTTGAAATTCAATTAAGCAGCATATATAATTTTAACTTTCTGTATTGAATTAACACCTTATCAACATGACATTTTTGTTTTCTGAAATCAAATCTAACCGTGGGTCAAACATTTTGATCATATGTCTTAGTAGTTTATACAGTGTGGAAAAATCTGATGATTTCGTGAAAAAGTAAATATTTGAAGATTTGACGAATTAAGTTTGAATACCTTTAAATCACCACCGATAACCTGCCGCTGATTTATCAACTGACAATCACGTGTAAAATCAATATTGTCTATGGGCAGAACTTCTTCTATAGTAGTTCTATCGATTTAATCACCTCTGTCCTGGGGTGTCGTCGTCAAATATCGATTTACTCGCCTTACTCTTAGGGTGCCGTCGTCAAATACCTCATGAAATAGTTCAAATTTTAATATATCATAATTGATTTCAGTGCGCAAGGAATTTATATAAATCTGTCTATACTTTTTGCAAAGAAAATGTAATGTAAATCCTGTAAGGTATCATGTCTTTTTAAAGTACATCAATTTATATAAGCCTATTAGCGATTGGACATATAACTCTGAATTTATATATTTCAAAAACCTTATTGTATGTATATTGCAGTTATTTAGTTTAAGGATATGTGTATTAAAAAGTGAACTTTAAGGCACTCCTTCCAACAAAACCTCAAACCCTTCATCCCCTCATAAAAGAAACAAAAACTAAATTTGTAAATTGCAGCGCATGTGTAAATTCAAATGATTCAAGACTGTAAAGTCACATATTTCGTGCTGTCTTATTTTCATGGTTTAAGAAAAAAATATTGTTTCCAGGGGTTTTAATTTCATGGATAAAAAGTATCTCACCATATCCCCAAAACAATTAACGAAAATCAAGCCCCACAAAAATATTACCTTCACCATAGACTAAATTTGTATCTTGTTTTGGCATACAATTTAAAGAAAAAACGTAATAGGTAATAAATGCTACCAATTGCTAAATTGATGATATGTCGACAATTAGAAGAATTTTCCTAAAGATATAAAGTTTTAATGTGTGTTTCATGTCTTCAGATCATAATTTAAGCAATAAAAATTATCTTCTAAATAACCATATTCCAAAGTCCCAAAACAATTAACGAAAATCAAGCCCCACAAAAATATTGCCTTTACAAGTGACTCTAAATTTGTATATTGTTTTGGGATACAATTTTAAAAATTTAAAGAAAAAACATAATAGGTAATAAATGCTCCTAATTGCTAAATTGGTGATATGTCGACAATTTGAAGAATTTTACAAAAGATATAAAGTTATTCAGAGATGTGTGTCATGTCATGTCTTCAGAGTTTCGTTTCATAATTTATGGCTATCTGCAATAAAAATTATCTTGGACTAATCCCCATTTAATTCCAAAATCAAGTTATGATATTTCTTTTTTATCTAAATAATATTCTAAAGGTAGGCACCAACAGTAATTTTACAACATCTCGTACAGAAATACTTATGTAAACTTTCAATCACAAAGAAACACGATGTTAAATAGAACGTCATATAGAAGATTTTTGAAAAATATCTTCCAGTATCAAACAAAATACCTTAGATAGAGCATCATTTTGTGTTTCATGCCATCTTTGTGCGAACATACATAAAAAAACATCTATAATATGATATAATTGCTGTAGTTATCATTAAAAAAATATTTAT